AATGAAAGATATATCAATTCTAAACTCAAACCCCGTTCGTTCCGAGTTGGAGATTTTGTCCTTAAGCGTATAATGGGGCCTGACCCCGGACCACTCAGACCGCGGTGGGAAGGACCCTTTCAAATCATCAAAATCCTACCCCATGGGGCCTACCGAATTGCTCATCCCGATGGAACACCACATCAATATCCCTGGAATGCAGTGTTCTTGAAAAAATTCTATCAGTGAAGGATCCGAAGTCGCATAGTCGACCCCCCTCTTGTACGGGCCTTCTTTTGCCTCAGTGAATGAACTCACCTCTTTTGATGTACTGAATAGCTTGTCAGTTTGCGTATTGTGAAAAAGTCGAGCAACAAGCTCGATACCGATGTAAACCTTTTGAAACTCGGTTAAATATATCACGCCGATGTAAGCATTGCGACACTCGGTCTAGCTGATACCCCATAATATGTCCGAGTACCATTTCTTCTCGGATGGGGGTGATGCTCGTCAAACGTCATTTCAACATACGTGATTTGATGGGTCCCAAATACTACCGAATACACAACCTATAAGTCGGTTGGGGCCATTTCATAATCGGACTCTGACGAAGTCCGGTGACTTTCATTTTATTTCTCGTACAGCCCTAAAAATGTGTTGAGTTCTGCGAAGTTATTTGAAAACTCGCATATCGACTCACACTTGCGGCTGAGATTCTTATAAACGATCAAAGTGGAATTCGGAAGTTTTTTACAAAACCTTACAACTCGGATCATGATTTGAGTAATTCCGAGTTGAAGCGATTCATTTTCTAAAGAAAACCGAATTCAGAACACTTGGTCGAAAAGTCGCTGAAATTTGCACAGCAAACATAAAATCAAAATCAAGTATATGCGAACACTTTATATATAAATATATTCTGAAAAGTTTGGGAAATCCCTTACATATTTCTTACTAAGGAATTCGGTTATCCGACATCCCCGATTACATATCATAAACTTCGAAATATTTCCTACTAAGGATGCCGACATG